GATCTCTTTCTCCTCCTGTTAATATGTCCTGCCACCTAAATTTATGGTACCATAAAGTGAGGGCAGTGTATTATATACTTTGAAGCTGCCCTAGATCCACACAAGTGAAGTGAGACCCTACAAGTAGGGTGGCAGTGGGAAGGAATTATGGAATACCTGGCTTAGTAGTGTTTCTGCTTTAAACACTGGGGAAAAATTAGAGAGGAAGACAAACCATGAGAAACTCCTAACACTGGGAAACAAACAAAGGGTTGTGGAAGGGAAGAGTTGGGGGATGGGGTGACTGGGTGAGGGGCACTAAGGAGGGCATTTAATGGGATTAGCACTGGATGTTATACTATAAGTTGGCAAATTGAATTTAAATTAAAAAAAATAAATAATTAAATAAAAAAGTAAATACTGGGGAAAATAGTTTTTGAAAATGGAGGTCATGATCCAGGGATCCTTAACAAAATGCTGTCAGCTTCAATGCTTGTCTGATCCAGATGTGCTTTCTCTACACTGTCTCAGAGTTGGAATCTAGGGTACTCATGCTCATGGCCCTGGACTGCTATGTGGCCATCTGCTTTTCCTCTTCGCTATGCCATTACCCTCACCAATTCTATCGTTGCCAAGTTTCTCACCTTCCCTCTAGGTGTGATACTCGCCATTCCTTTTACATTACTCACCATACATCTACCCTACTGCAAGGGTAATATAATTTCCCATACCCACTGTGATCACATGACTGTGGCCAAGTTATCCTGTGGCAATATCAAGGTCAATGCCATCTATAGTCTGATGGTTGCCCTTCTGATTGGGGACTTTGACATCCTGCACATCACAGTCTCCTAATCCATGATTCTCTGGACAGTGGTCAGCCTCTCTGCAGCAGAGGCTCAGCAGAAGTCCTTTAGCACCTGAACTGCCCAAATCTGTGCTATAGTCATCACCTATGTCTCAGCCTTCCTTACTTTTTTTCACCCACCATTTTGGGGGTCAATACAGCCCTCCACAGCTTTCATATTTTTGTGGTTAACCAATACCTGCTCCTGCCCACCCACTCTGAATCTTATTGTCCATGGGACAAAGACTAAACAAATACAAAAAGGGATACTCAAATTTTTCCTTAGCAAAAGACCACTGAAGAAGGAGATATAAGTAAATCCCAATGTAACAAAAGGAAAATGATTTCAAAGATGAAGAAGGCATCTATACTAGACAGACAGTGGATATGTGTTTTGACAGTGACTAACCAATCTTCTTAATTGATTATTCCTATACTTTTCTAAGACCTTATACATCAACTTGAAAACTTTTCTTTAAAAAGGACCCAGAAACCAATTTGATAAAATCCAAGAAAACTATTCCTAATGCCTTTTTATTAATTGCATGATACCAGACTTGGTGCCATTATAGTAATACATGAGATAGAGTTTTGTCCCTGAAGAATTTCCCAACTAGTAGATAAAACTCAAGAAAGGGATTATGCCAGTTATTAAAAACACTGTTAATTTCTAGTAAAAGCACTGGCCTTAGGACTTCATAGTTTTTTGCTAAACTAGAAAATATACTTTCCATCAAGGAATAAACATGCAATGTTATCACTCATTTGTTTATTAATATATACCATAAATATATTTTGAGCACTTACTTTCTTAGGACATTGTAGTACAAACACTGATAAAAATGGATATTGCTACATGTGTATACACACATGAAACCATCAATAACTTGATTACAACAAAGTTAATTAACATATTCATCACCTTCAAAATTTCCTTTTACATCTTTGTGATCCAGCCATTGCCTGAACCTGACACCACTGACATGCTCTCTTTCACTATAAATTAGCTTCACTCTATAAAGATTAACTCTATAAAATTCTGGAATTTTATATAAATTAAATATTACTGAATGGGACCTTTTTAGCCCTGGCTGCTTCCATGACCACTTTGAGTTTCATCAAATTATCATTGTGTTAATCACACATATATTTTTCTTGGAAATACCAAAATAAATCTGTTATCTGTTGTTGAACATTTTGTTTGTTTCCAGTTTTTCTGTATTACAAATAAAATTGCTATGATCATTCATGTGCAAGTCTTTGAACAAGCATATACTTTCATTTCTCTTGGGTAAATATCTAGGAGTGAAATAGCAGATATATATAAAGATTTTTTAAGAAAATGACAAAATTATTTCTAGAATAGGTGTATTTTACATTCTCAACAGTGGTACATAAAATTTCTTGTTCTGCACCCTCACAAACATTTAGTATGGTTAGTTTTTTTAAAAATTTAGTCATTTTAGAAAGAGTCTATTGATATCTTGTGTTTTTGAGTTATGCTTACCTAATGACTGAAGATGTGGAGCATGCTTATGTGTGCTTATTTGTCATCTGTATCTGCAGAAAATTTGTGAGATTAGAAATATTTGTTTTAAGCTGCTAAATTCTGGGGTAATTGAACTATATTTTTATTATTTTTGAAAAATCACCACAGTGCCTATAGTTAACAATACTACATTGTATAATTAAACATTTGCTGAGAGGGCACAGTACATCTCACATGAAATGCTCTAATTGAGGAAAACATACATATTAAGTAAAGAAGTTAGGATAAAAATTTTGGAAGTGATAGATATGTTTGTTTTTTTCTCTTTTTTTTTCCTTTTTTTAGAGAGAGAGAGAGAGCTTGATTAGGGGAAGTGGCAGAGGGAGAGAGAGAGACAGAGAATCTTAGGTAGGTTCCACTCCCAGTGTGGAGCCCAACATGGGCTTGATCTCAAAACCCTGAGTTGGTGACCTGAACTGAAATCAAGAGCCAGATGCTTGGGGTGCCTCAGTGGCTCAGTCAGTTAAGCATCTGCCTTTGGCTCAGGTCATGATCTCTAGGTCCTGGGATCAAGCCCTGTTTCAGGCCCCCTCTTCAGCCGGGAGTCTGCTTCTCCTTCTCTGCTTATTCTTTCGCTTTCTCTTTATCCCCCCCCCACCTCTGTCAAACAAGTAAACAAAATCTTCTTTTTAAAAAAAAAAAGGCAGATGCTCAACTGACTGAGCTACCCAGGCACCCTGGAAGTGATAGATATGGTTAGGTCATTGGTTATGGTGATGGTTTCACAGGTGTATATTTATTCCCAAGCTCATTGTCAGATACATTAAATATGTCTGGGCTTTTTATGTCAGTCATGCTTCAATTAAGTTAAAAAAGAAAACTTAAACCAATTAAAAATAAATTCTCACATGGGAGTTTATAAAGTGTACTTTCTATCACTAACTTCCATTCTTCAGGTCTCTTCCAAGAAAAAAATGACCAATGTTAGTTTCTTGTGATCCCTTCCAGAACCAATTTATGTCTTCATTTCCTTTGAAAGCTACATAGCATCACATTGTATTGATATACAATAATTAAATGTAAATAATTATCATTTAATAATCATTTAATTTTTATCATCTCTACAAAAAATTATAATATATGAAGTCATTAATGTTCAAGACTAGCGTTTAAATGTTTAAATGTTTAAATGTTTAAATGTCTTCTTGTCAAGTAAACAGAAAAATAAAATTGTTTTGAGCACAGAGATGTTAGCACCAAGTACAGAACTCATTAAAGGGAAAGAAAACCACTATAATAGCATGATTTTTTTGTTCAGTAGATAATTCTTAGAACATATCAGGTGCTAAATAAATATTTATTGGAAGGATGAATGCATGGATGGACAACTGCTAGTCTATGAAATAGGAGTTCATTCACCAGCTGGAAAGTCAAATAGACTGAAATTAAAAGAAGTTTTAGAAGACCTTCTGCATCATAGATAATAAGATAAAGTGGAATATTAAGGAAGTTTGAGATCTACAATCAAATAGAGTTTAAAAATAAGGTTTAATTGAAGGATTTTCTCCATGCATGCATTCCAGAAATACAGTTGGCGTTTAACACACTGCCATGGAAAACAGTCACTGTTAAGTGCTCAAGTTTGATATTGGTAGTATCCTAAGAGGCAGATTAGAGCACTTGTCAGCCATATTATAATCAGCAACAACAAGGTTTGGCTGCAAGCCCTTGGGTAGTGCTAGAAAAGTGTTTGATTCTCATCCCCTGATACTGAGTGGCAGAAAGGGGTGAGTGGTTAAGTCTCTCACATGACATACTGCTAAATCAGCATTATTTGGAGCCCAGCCCTCTAATGACTCTAGTAATTATTCCCCCAAACAATGAATGTAAGCTGATGGAATAAAGTTAGAAGCCAATTGTCTAGCCCATCTTATTCTCTTAGGTCCCAGTCTCTGCTTATCCCAGGCAAGGGATAGGTGATTTAATATAATTTAAGATCCCATAGCCCAAGGGTCAAGGTTCTTTTCCTAGAGTCTAACATCTGGCCTCACAAAGTATCTGAATATTACTCTAGAATACAATTGACAAGGAAAAAAATCCACATTCATGCTACAACTCTTTCCTCTATAAATGTCTTCCATTAATTTTTTATCCTAAAGGCCTATCAGTATGCTGTCTGTCACCATTAGTTCAGTGAGTTAGGTATCTGGTCAGTCAACTCTGTGCCTTTTGGAAATGAACCAACTGAATGGATATTAGAGAGCCACTTTAGAGGTAGGAACAGTCTGCTTGAAGTGGCAGTAACAGTCAAAGTTAAGGAATAGAATGGGGAGGATGGTCATCAAATATTTATGGAAACTTGTTTTCCAATATGTGCAATTTTGCAGTAGTGAATCTCTCATAAACAGAGACAATATTCCAATATTGTTTTATCATTATTATTTTTAATGGCTCTGAAAGGACCTAACCAGGTTGTCACAGATAAGATTTTCTTAAATGTATTTGCTACACTTAGCAGAATTATTATTTTTTAATGTCTGAATGAAAGGCTAGCATAAAATCTCCCTCACAATTTCCTGCTAATAACCACTCCAAGTTTATTGTATTCTTTTATTAGATGTGGCTTGACTTTTTAAATGTTTAATAATTTTTTTTTCTCTGCAATTCCAAAAGAACAGAGAGAGGATGTCCCCCTCAAATGATACCAAGTCCCATCCCTCCTATTTCCTCCTACTGGGAGTTCCAGGCCTTGAAGAGATGCACATATGGATTGGGTTTCCTTTTTGTTTTGTGTATTTGATTGCCCTTGTGGGAAACATCATTATCCTGTTTGTGATCAAGAATGAACACAGTCTTCATCAGCCTATGTTTTACTTCTTGGCCATGTTAGCCTCCATCGATCTGGGTCTATCAACATCCACTATCCCCAAAATGTTGGGCATATTCTGGTTTAATTTAAAAGAGATTAGTTTTGGATCCCTGGGTGGCGCAGCGGTTTGGTGCCTGCCTTTGGCCCAGGGCACAATCCTGGAGACTCGAGATCGAATCCCACATCGGGCTCCCGGTGCATGGAGCCTGCTTCTCCCTCTGCCTGTGTCTCTGCCCCTCTCTCTCTCTCTCTCTCTCTCTCATAAATAAAAATAAAACATAAATAATAAAAACATAAAAATAATAAAATAAAATAAAATAAAATAGATTCATTTTGAGGGCTGTGTCACCCAGATGTTCTTTATTCATATATTCACTGCCATGGAGACTGTTGTATTGGTGTCCATGGCCTTTGACCGCCATGTTACCATCTGCAATCCTCTGAGATACAGCCTGATTCTCACTAACAGGATGATTTGTCTCATCCTTGTTGTGGTTTTTGGTGTCAATTTCATTTTGGTTATCCCTCTGGTGTTTCTCATTTTGAGGCTTCCCTTCTGTGGACACCAAATAATCCCACATACGTACTGTGAGCACATGGGAATTGATCGGCTGGCCTGTGCCAGTATAAAAGTAAATATGATATTTGGATTATTTCTTGTATCAGTGGTGTTTGTTGATGTTGTTCTGATTGTCATTTCCTATGTGAAAATACTCCGAGCTGTCTTCTGCCTTTCTTCTCAGGATGCCAGACTCAAGGCACTTAATACATGTGGCTCCCATATCTGTATTATTCTAGCCTTCTTCACTCCACCTTTTTCTCTGTCTTGACCCATCGTTTTGGCAGGGATGTTCCCATATACATATACATTCACATTCTCCTGGCCAATCTATATGTTGTTGTTCCACCTGCCCTCAATCCTCTCATCTACGGAGTAAGGACAAAGCAAATTCGGGAAAGGGTTTCAAGTATCTTTTGGAAAAAAGACTGATATTAGCTCAGATATATTCATTTAAATCTAGGGAAAGAGATTGTGTTTTTCAACTGAAGAATCTCACAACAGAAAAAAATATTCAGACCTTACTATTATTTCATTGAGAATTTCTCTAGGTATACCATCTAGAACATATAATAAGATTAATGTCACAGCAATCACTGTGAAAATATATGGAATACCTAAAAGTTTTGGACACTTAGTTATGAGATTTTATTACTTTCCTGTATAACCTTTACAGAGCAGGTCTTGTATTTCTACAATATATTTTCTACTATATGGAAATGAAACACTTTTTATTTGCAAACAGTTAACTCTGTTGGCCACATTGCTATATATATATATATATATATATATATATATATATATATAATCTCCTATATATATACATATATATCTACATCAAGGACTACAGGTATTTAATACTTATGACAGATTCTTCATTCCTTTCTTAATTGCTTAATTGTTTTTATCCATAATTGTATTGATACTATATTATATGCCAGACACTGACATCATAAAATATAAAAATAAAAATACACATTACATTTCAAGATCTTATAGGAGGAAGAATTTGGAGAAATTTACCCTGTGACTCACTCTGTGTGCAATCTTCCCAGGTTCATCACATCTATGCAGATCTCCAATAAGTGTTTTACTGTTCAAAGTGAACCAGTAAGTCTTTAGATGTATGTATATGCAATATTGTAAAACTTATATAATATAAATATATCTCTATCTCTGTTGTTAAATGGGAACTTCATAGAGGCATCAGTATGATAAAGAATTTAAGATGCTCAGGAATGAACGCCTCTAAGTGAGTGAATTTCTGGATATGTCAATTACATTCTCGAAGGTTGAATCTAATGCCATAGATAGTAGTTACTCTCTGATTCACAAACTTTAGTTATTTTCATTTATCATTTATTAAGTAACTTGTCCAGCACTTTTTAATTTGCACTTCTTCCTTGTGTCTTATCAGATAAGCCTGAGTATCCTACCCATATTTTATAGTTTTTGATCAATGATATGTATTTGGCCAATGTTTATTTCATGACATCTTGCAACTCATATAGTAGGTGCTTAATAATTGTTTACTTAAAAGAAATTATCTTCCAAAGGTACTTGAAAATGTGCTTAGCTTAACGAATCATCAGGGAAATGCACATCAGAACTACAGTGAGATAGGGGTGCCTGGGCGGCTCAGTCAGTTAAGCATCTGACTCTTGGTTTTGGCTAAGGTTATAATTTCATGGGTGGTGAGATCGAGTCCCAAGACACACTCCATGCTCAGTGAGTGGTCTGTGGGTGGATTCTTTCCCTCTACCTCTCTCATACTCATTTTATCTCTCTGTCTCTCTCAAATAAATAAGATCTAGAAAAAAACTACAGTAAGATATCACCTCAACTGTTAGAATAATTATTATTTTAAAAAGACAATAAATAACAATTATTGGTGAAGGTATGGGGAAAAATGAACCCTTTTTCTCTGTTGGTAAGCATGTAACTTGGTGCAGCTTCTAAGGAGAACAGTATGGAGTTTCATCAAGAAATTAAAAATAGAACTACCGTGTGATCCAGAAATTCCACTTCTTGGTATTTATCTGAAGGAAAGGAAAACACTAACTGGAAAAGATATCTTCATCCTCATGTTTGTTTCGACATTACTGACAATAGCTAAGATATGTAGAAATCTAAATGCCCATCCATGAATGAGTAGATAAAGAAAATGTACACACACACACACACACACACACGTACAAATATTATTCAGCCATAAAAAAGAAGAAAATCTTGTCATTTGTGGCAATACAGATGGACCTTGACAGCATCATGCTGAGTGAAGCAAGTTAAAGAAAGATAAATACTGCATGATCTCACTTATATGTAGAATCTAAGAAACAAACAACAAAACAAAAAGAACTCATAGATCCAGAGAACAGACTGTTGGATGCCAGAGGTGGGGGAGTGAGCGAAATGGGACAATAATATGTTATAGGGATATAATGTACAGTATAGGGACTATAGTTAATAGCATTGTATTATATATTTGAAAGGTGCTAAAAGAGTAGATCTTAAAAGTTTCCATCACAAGAAAAAAAAGTATAACCATGTGATGAATGTTACCTAAATTTATTGTGGCATCACTTCACAATATGCTCAAATATTGAATCATTATGTTGTTCACCTGAAGCTAATAAAATTTATATGTCAATTATATCTCAATAAAAAATTTAAAAGATATTAACAAAAACTTATCAAGTACAATATACACATAGTAAAATGAAAGAATCTTACACATATCATTTGATACATTGATATGCCATTGATATTACTTTTGTAATGTTATTGTGATATGGATTTTTATGAATGCACAAACTATGTATGGTCCTATACTTTGGAATACCATTCTTGAAAGTTTCTAAGTCCCTTTCCAGTGGTTGGAACTAGCAACCATTCCCCAAACTCAAAGTATCCCTCTTAAGCTCCTTCTCTGTTTCTCCACTTTAAGAGACTCCCTTTTGGGCCACTCCTCAGCCTAATGTTCTGCATTGATGATGTTGAACAAATGCCCAAAGAGCTCTAGGGGTAATGCCTATACTTTCCCAAGGCCTTCTAAATGGTCTTTATTCTAGCATGGTGGCTTGTTTCACTGGGTAGTACAGTATTTATTTCATGGATTGCTAAGGGCCAGTTTACCAAAATGGTGCTGGCATGCTGAATTAGAGTGATTCAAATTGTATATGTGGTCAGAAGGCCCATATAAAGTATTTGCTGAACACTTGTACACCTTGTGGGCAGCCCAGAACCTATGTAATTACTGCTCAGATGAAAATACATGGCATTACCAACAATCTAGAAGAAGACTCTGTGCCCTTACCAGTGAATAATTTCCAGAGTACATCATTTTTTATATCTAGTACTATAGATTGGATGGTTTATGACTTTAATATTAATATTAGTATTAATTAAATCATATGATATATGTCTTTTGTGATGCCTTACTTCACTCAAAATTATATCTGTGAGATTAACTCATGTGACTGTATTTAACTGTAACTTATTACTTTTTATTATTGCATGGTATTACAATTTATAAATGTGGCAAATTTAATTATTATTTCTGGATGGACAATTGAGTTTTATCTCATTTTGACTATTTTGAATAAAGTTCTGTGTATTTATTTGTTTGAGAGACATTTCCCATTGGTAATAATTGTTGAGAGATATTCATGTAATAATGTATGATTGCTGAGTGACTGAGAGGGTATGTTTTTATCTTTATTAGAAAGCTCCAACAGTTTTCTGAAATTATATGTATAATGTTACATTTTCATCAGTTATATAGAAGCCAGTTGCTGCACATCCTCATCAGCACTATTGGTTTTGTATGTGTGTTGGTGCGAGGGTGGATAGGTATATTTATTTTTTGCCATTATTTGTTAGCATCATGTAATGTTATTGTGATGTGGCTTCAATATACACCACCTTACCATTAATGATGTTGTAAAAACTATAACTATTGGCCATTCTCTTTAGTTCTCTTTAGTGGAATACCATTTTATTTAAAGTCTTTAGAATTGTGTTATCTTTTCCTTAGGAAGTGGTACACGTTCTTTTTATAGTCTGTGAATAATTCCTTTCTCAGATATATATCCTGAAAATATCTGCTCCCACTAGATGAATTGGCTTTCAACTCTCTACAATGTGTTTTTGGAGGAATACTAGTTTTCATGTTCAATAAAAATCAAATTTATTAATGTTTTACATTAAAATTATTGATCTTTGTGTCCTTTTGAAGAAATGTTTGTTGAACTCAGTAACACAAAGACACTCTTTCATGTTACCTTTAATATTCTTTTTTTAAGTTTTTATTAAAATTCTGACTGGTTAACATGAAGCATGATATTAACTTCAGGTGTCCAATTTAGTGATTCAACATTTCCAAACAATATCCAATACTCTTCAACAGTAAGTTCACATCTTTTGAAAATAAGTATACATATTTCTTATTTTGATGAAGTTCTTACAGTCCCAATAGCAACTTTGTAGGTCAGGTGATCAGTGGATCTCCTAATCATCTTGTGGTTATTTCCCTCCATTCCAGAATGTATAATTGGAATAAATATACTCAGCAATTGCCATAATCCCTCTTGCTCCATGAAGGTCAGTCTTTTTTCTGTACAAGGCTTCAACTGATTGGGTAAGGCCCACACATATTATGAAGGTCCCAGTTTTTGCTATGTGACCAGTAAGTTTAAAAAAAAATTCATTAAACTTGTGTGTTGGCTTGGGTGAAACAAAGGTATCTTTCCACATTTTTAGTGGTTCACAACAAAGATGAAGTTCATTGTACAACTGAGAAAAGGTCCTAGGAGTTGTGCCTGAATTTTTTTTATCTTTCTGTTTACCTGCTCTATTTCTTGTTCCTGCTATATTTTACTTTGACCTTACTTAAAGCCTAAATGAGTATACCCTGTGAAGACCCATGAATCAAATATTTAACTCTATGTAGTTGCTGTAGTTGTTATTTTAAGACTTATAAAAATGGAGTACACAATGCTGTCTACGCTATTTTATTGATTATTTTCTTCCCTGTGGTTACATGATTAAGGAAGTCAACTGTGCCAAGGGAGAAATAAAATTGATATTTGATGTCTTTAATTGTTGCTCCTGGAACCAACGCTCAACAGCTTGTCTAATCAGTCTCATAGCTATGATGGTTCTTGGCAGCTCAGTACTCCACCATAATCAGTGAACTCTGTAAAGAGACTAATTGATATTACTCCAAAAAAAAATAGTACTTGAGTTGCACTAAGACTTTATCCTTGGATCCGAATTTTAGTATGATTTACATAAATAAGTGATCTGTATTTATTTAACAATAATATTTATAGTTAGTCTAGGAACAATTATCTGTTATGTCAATTTATCTCTAATTTGATACTGCACATAATGAGGAAACATTGTGTTTAACATCATATACTGTAAAGCAT